AGTTGGAAATTGAGTAAGGTTAAAAAAACTATAAACTCCACATAATACTTTATATAAAATAATAATTAGTAAGGGGATTAACGATGGGGCTCGAGGGCAACGCCTCCGACGAGGGTCGAGGGGGTTGCGAGCCTCGTGGGGGTTTGGGGGCAACGGGGATTGACCTGACCGAAAGGATTTTTGATTTTCATGTATGTATGAAATTGCATTTTTCTAATATTTTTCAATTAAATTATTAACAAGTGGCTAGGTTGAATGTATGAGTGGAAGTGTTGGTAAGTTGGTAACTTAGGGTAATAGAACGGTGGATTGGTATAAGTAAAAGTAATATATAATTGTTAAAAAAAAAAAAAATTAATGTGTCCCCGTGCGCAGACAGGGAGTTCAAATCTCCCCGTGCACGTACGGGGAGATGTTGTATCTTTTATATTAGTAAGGATAACAACAGGTATACACTTTTGCACATGCGGTAAACAAAATCATCAAATCGAAATAACAAACTCAAGCAGAAAAACCTGACGTACCAAGAGAACTTAAAGAAATCAAATAATTTTTGAAATACACAGGATATATAGTTTAATAGAAATGTTAAAAATCCAAACTACAGTATATGATAGTCGAAATAACAAAATTGCTACATTTACCCATTAGAATTTGTAGGTGAAGATGGAGCCATATTAGAAGCCGATCACTTTGGCTAGTGAGAAAGTCATAACAGAACGAGAGGTGCGGTGAAGCATATGAGGAACTGGAAAGAGGAGGAATTGATAGAAATTTAGGTTGAAGAAAGAAAATTGGAAGGTGATGTTGTGAAAAATGGAGATGACGGTGAGGTAGTTCTGTGACTGGGGTGGGATTTGGGGATGTGGATTATGATATGGAGGAACTCGGGAAGGAGATGAAAGTATTAAATACGGTGTATGAATGTTTTAGGGTATAAATCTAATTTGTTATTTTTTAGAGTAGTAGGTCTAATTTCCTCTTTTTCTTTTGCTTCTAATGTTTCTTTTTTAAGACACCGTAGCACTTTACATGCAGTAGGTCCAGTTTTAATTGGGTTGATTGTATCCCATCATTTCGTAGAGGTTCGGTGGTCATTTACGATAATAATGTCTTGTTATTTAAAAAAAATCCCAATTGTCAACTGTCGACGAAAAGAATCGGGACCCTTAATGGCCTAAGCTTGAACACGTATAGAACTTCTACTTCCCAAAGCAAAATTAACAATACCGTCCATTTTTCGAATTTAAAGCATTGTGCCTACGGAATCTTGGAATCTAAAATGTTAGTTGGTTCGAAAGATGAATATTTTGGCCACGTCCATGCGTCCCGTCACACTTATGATGTCGTAGTTAGGTAGGTTTGCGTACGAAAGATGAATCTTTATCTTACATGCTTCTTCGACAATTTAATAGCTTTTCTAAATATGCGTTTAATTACGAATATGAAATTTGTATGGAAATAAAATAAATTATAAGGAATTCAATCGCCTAAAACTTATTTGTACGGAAATTATTAATTAAATTTGCTTGATTGATTTAAATTTTAACCTAAAAAATATTATACTTATTCATTTTTTATTGGTGGGGTAGATGAGAGAAATGAGATAGATGAAAGAAAGAAAAAGAGAGTGGATTACCTAAAAATAAAAACCATCCATTCCTAAATAAAATATTTTCCTTACTTTTGAGGAAAATATGATCACATGACCAAAAGTTGAAAAATATTTTTCATGAAAAAAATTGTCAATTAAACACCCAAAAAATAGAAATTTGAATGGAAAAAATGAAATTTTCCATGTTATTATTAGATGAGTTGTACTTGTGCAGTACGGTGGACAAATATAGTTCAAAGAAACTATTATCTAGATTTTATTTTGCTTTAATGATGCCGTGTAATCGATCCTTTTCATAAATCGATAAAATTGATTTTTCACACTAGTCAGTAGCAATAGGACTCGGGCGTTTTCTAGGAGCAAGCCACGCCAATATTCCGCGATCCATCGAAGAAGAATTAGAGTGAAAGCAACAACCAAAGTGACAGTAGCGTGTGTCAACAAATAACTTTAAGCTTAACTACGTTATCACGTCAAATATATATGTCTTCTTTGACCTCAAATTTCTAAAACTCATTTTCAATCATACATTCTCATAATAAAATAATTTTGCATGTAAATTTTCTTTTTATTTTTTAACAACACGTTTTCTAAAAATAACTTTTTACAAAATCTCTTCTCAAAACCTCTAACAAACAGGATATAATCTTGCTTAAAATAAAGTAAAATAAGACAAAAAAGAGAGTGAAAAATCAACTCAATTAATTTTGACAAGTTCCAGCCATTCCTGTTCACGTCTCTTTACTCGAGAATTAAAATCCTAGTGGGGACAAAAGTACTAGAAAAGAAACGTAGCATATAGTTATGAAGAAATTAAAGCACTGTTCCAATGGAATCTTGAAATCCCAAAATGTTAGTTGAGTTGAAAGATGAATCTTTGGCCACGTCCATGCGTCCCCATCACACTGTAGTTAGGTAAGCTGGTCACTTGTGCTCGACAAATAATTCGAGTTCGATACGTAAAGCATGTCAATTTGACTAAACTTAAAAGAAAAGTAAAACTTTTTAAACATAGTCAAACATGTTTCTCCGACAATCCAGTACCATGTCTTTGTTAAATGATCAAAACATTTATCAACATATAATGGTTCATTAAATTCAAGCGAACAATTAAGTACGATTAAGATTTAAACAAGCATACACATTTCAGGTTATGTGTTCTCAACGAGTCATCATTTTGCGAAGAATGTAAAATGATAAATTTTACATCGAATAAATCTTGAAACATTATTAAATATAAAAGTGTTTGGACTATTCCTCTCAACAAGATAGACAATTTAAGATAGAACACAAAGATTTAAGATAATGCATTAGAGTTTTTTGTAAAGAACTTATTAATTATCTAGCCTTAATTTTCCTTATACAATTTAAACATACTGCAGAATGCTTTGTCTCCAATTATCAGTTTAAAATAAGTAAAATTTAAGTTACTGTTACATAAATATAATCATATAACTATAATAATACATAAACCCCAAATTTTTTTGAGATATGATCAACATTGATCAATAAAAATATTATTACCATAAATAACAGTATTTATTTCACAACCTTGAAAGTTTTTTCCACATACAAAACAATGATGCTACATGAACATCAAAGTTGACATAAAGTTTGATATAATGTCACGTGACATTTTATCATTGGATAATTTAAAACACGATTAGATTTNTGAAATCCCAAAATGTTAGTTGAGTTGAAAGATGAATCTTTGGCCACGTCCATGCGTCCCCATCACACTGTAGTTAGGTAAGCTGGTCACTTGTGCTCGACAAATAATTCGAGTTCGATACGTAAAGCATGTCAATTTGACTAAACTTTAAGAAAAGTAAAACTTTTTAAACATAGTCAAACATGTTTCTCCGACTATCCAGTACCATGTTAAGTGATTTTAGTGCATGAGTCTTTGTTAAATGATTAAATATCGAAACATTTATCAACATATAATGGTTTATATTATTTCTCTTGACATAGTATACGAGTTCATTAAATTCAAGCGAAGATACAGATTTCAGGTTATGTGTTCTCAAAGAGTCATCATTTTGCGAAGAATGTAAAATGATAAATTTTACATCGAATAAATCTTGAAACATTATTAAATATAAAAGTGTTTGGACTATTCCTCTCAACAAGATAGACAATTTAACATAGAACACAAAGATTTAAGATAATGCATTAGAGTTTTTTGTAAAGAACTTATTAATTATCTAGCCTTAATTTTCCTTATACAATTTAAACATATTGCAGAATGCTTTGTCTCCAATTATCAGTTTAAAATAAGTAAAATTTAAGTTACTGTTACATAAATATAATCATATAACTATAATAATACATAAACCCCAAATTTTTTTGAGATACGATCAACATTGATCAATAAAAATAATATTACCATAAATAACAGTATTTATTGCACAACCTTGAAAGTTTTTTCCACATACAAAACAATGATGCTACATGAACATCAAAGTTGACATAAAGTTTGACATTTTATCATTCGATAATTTAAAACACGATTAGATTTCAATCTAATCATCTACTGCCACATATAATTATGTTAAGCTTTATGTCAAATCATTTTGACAGTGTAACTTTATCCACCAAGAACAAAAGCCAATCAATAACAAATTACACAAAAACACAATCACAACAATACGTATTGTAACAAATCCAAATTTTGTTCTGCTTGCTTAGTTAATTGGCACACTATGCAGCACCACCGTCTCCACCGTTAGCCCTGGTCCGAACCCAAACAGAACACCCCAATCCAGCCCCTCTCCGGTTGTGCTCATCCCCTCCTTGGTGGCAGACTTCCTCATCTCATCTAGGATAAAAAGCACACATGCACTTGACATGTTTCCATATTCACTTAACACGTGTCTAGTCGATCGCAATTTTTCTGGATTTAGGGCTAATTTTGCTTCCACTTGGTCCAAGATTGCTGGACCGCCAGGATGAGCAATCCAAAAAATCGAATTCCAATCAGAAATACCTGTCAAATATAAGATTTAAATAAATTTATTCTCAATTTAAGTTAACATGATATCAGAGTTGTCCTATTTTGTGAGATTAAGTTTTGTCGGCACGCATTGGTAATTTTGTGAATGTGCGATGACTTTTGATGGAGAAAACAAACTTGTGGTGAATTTAAGCCTCCAATTGGGAAGAATTTATAAAGGGGTTAGTGTATTTTAAAATGTGCGGTTGAAAATTAAGTTTTAAAATTTATAAATGAATTATAAATTCTGAAAAATAGTAAGATTTAATTACTTTTGTTTCGTGTCACTATTTTTATGTGAAAAAAAAAAGAACTTTTTGAAAGTGGCTTATATTATTATCACGATAAGTAACTTAATTAAGCTTAGCCAAACATGGTGTGAGTTCTTAAACGAGTAAAGGTTGAACAATACCTAAAGGCTGGAATGCCTCAGTCAGGCTCTTTTCAATGTTCTTTGATATCAATCCCGGAACATCCTTGAGAAGGTGAAAGGTTAATCCAACTTCACGTAAATGGCCATCAATGGCACCATCACTATCTGGAAGTATTGTTTGCGCGGCTGAAACCAGCTGAAAAAGTGGCCGCTCCACCCCAATCACCGGGTCAGAACCCACAATCACGGCAGCTGCGCCATCGCCAAACAGTGCCTGTCCAACCAGACTATCCAAATGAGTGTCATTTGGTCCCCGGAATGTAACTGCAGTGATTTCCGAGCACACTACGAGAACCCGTGCCCCTTTGTTATTCTCCGCCAAGTCCTTGGCCATGCGCAGGACAGTGCCGCCGGCGAAGCAACCCTGTTGGTACATCATGAAGCGTTTCACGGAGGGGCGAAGGCCGAGGAGCTTGGTGAGTTGGTAGTCGGCACCGGGCATGTCCACGCCACTGGTGGTGCAGAAGATTAAATGGGTGATTTTCGACTTAGGCTGGCCCCATTCTTTGATTGCTTTATAGGCAGCTTCCTTGCCTAGTTTTGGCACTTCCACCACCACAATATCTTGCCTTGCATCGAGTGATGGTGCCATGTATTCACACATGTGCGGATTCTCTTTCAAAATTTCTTCCGTCAAGTGCATGTAACGTTTTTTGATCATCGATTTATCACCTACAAAGCATAATTATAAGATCATATTTGTTATACAGTATTAGACAAATCAAAATTGATCTCCTAAGTACCGGTGCTTAGCAAATATGATGACACACTACAATGTCACATGAGTGCTATGTCACCCAAGTGCTTAGCAGAGGTGACGTGTGTCATATCATTCGAGTGCTTAGCATAAGTTAAGTATTGGTTTTTAGGAAATCAGTCGTATTAGATAAATAATCGTACAAGTGAAAACCTAAGAGAACATATTTGGGTTTTTAGTTGCATGGTGCTTTCTTAATGATAATAGTGAAAACACACGTAAGGATCCATGCAACAACCTAACGTTACGTTACTTACAGAAACAGATTAAAGAAGAGATGCGTGCAAAAACTCAAAAGGAACAACCTAAGAAGCAAATTAAAGAAAATGATTTTCATTTTTTTCTTAGAAAATCTGTCCCAAGTGAAAATAATCAAGACTTTCTAGTGGTCGTTCGAGAGATAGGAACTTACACATGCGCTTAAATTTTTCTTTAAGCTCTGTTTTGTGTTCGCTATTTGTGATGCGAAAATAGTAATCGGGATAAGTGCTCTGGTCGACGCAATTCAACGGCGTTGCTGTCCCGATGGCCATGATAGTTGCAGGCCCTTCAGCCCTTTGAGCGCGGCGAACCTCCTCGATGGTTACCATTTTCGCCGGAAGTTAAGAATTTTAGGTTCTTAGGTGTTGGCTACGCTTGTCGGAGAGAGAACCGAAAATGTTTTAGTGTGAGAAAGTGAGGAGACACTATAGAGTATATATAGAGGCAGACGAAGGCCATGGTAGCTGAGATTCACGTGTGTGAGCAACCCGTATTAAATATTCATCAACCAATTTAGAGGCCGGGTGGCACGTGACGTACGTACCAGTCCGGTTCGGTTTATCTCGTACTTGCCTATCAAACCCTGCATTTGCTTTAGCCTTTCGATACCTAATTTTCAAAGTAAATTACTCGCCAGGAAATGTCTTGTTTTATTCCCCCGCTCACCATTTTCATCATCAATGCCCTCTGCCACCAAGTCCTATTCCACTCCCAATTATGGCAAGTCCATGACTCCATTATTTAAAATTTTACTTTTCTTCGCTCATTTTAAATAAAAAATCCTACTAATAAAATATTTTGCACGTAAATTCTTTTTCATACTAATATTTCGTTAAGCGTTTTTCTTTAAAACTATCTTCTTTATTGTGAGATTTATAAAATTTATTGGGTTGTTTCCTTAAACTCTAATATAAAATCAAGAAAAATCAATTATAGTAAGTTGACATCGTATTAAAAAATAGAGAAAAGACTTCATTCCACTATTCGATACGGCAAAAATAAATAAAAGTTCTTGCATTGGGATCATCTCGTATAAATTGTAAAAATCTAGGCCATTTTTGAAAAAAAAAAGATATTAAGACGGTAAGATTATTCTTTAACAAGTATCTAACTATACAATTCTTAGTTTGACCATTGAAAAAATGACGTGAAATATTTTTGAGGTTGAAATAAAAATGGTATTTGAGAATAGAGTTTTGAATGGAGAAATATACGATATAGGGAAAAAGATAGATAATCACTTGTCGTGATATGAGTTGTCAACTGAACTTATCAAAATATAATTGTTTGATCCGCATTTTTTAAAAATTATTTTTAACTACATATTCGCACAATAAGATATTTTGCACGTAAATTTAAAATTTTTCCCTGCTAACCACGTATTCTTCAAAAATCATTATTTCAAAATCTATTAAACCCCAAAAATGGGGTTCAAACAAGGGCATATGATCCATCGTTCACTCATTTGTTGTTTAAAAGCTAGCACACTTGATGA